AACAAGACCAAGGTTATGTGGATATTCTATCGATAGAATCATCGAAATATACTTACTATGTTATCATATTTCTGTTAAATCAATAGCATTTTATCTTTCATTGAATAACATATCCTTGAATAGATCAGCTTCATTGAATTTTATAAATTCAATACCTAAATTAAAGGGCTCGTTCATTTATACTATGACAGTCGGTAACTTACCTTGATCAAATTCAACATCGCGATTTTCCAAACCCTCGCTTACTTTCACCACAAATAAATACAGTTCTAAAAATCAATATTACAGCATAATTCTTTTCATGTTGGTCGAAAAATCGTCTAAACACTTTGCTCCAACTTCATTCTGATTTGAGAGTTGTGTTTGATCGACGTCGGTTTGAATATGAATTTAAGAAATAGTTCTAGGTGAATTGACCACAACGTTTTGTTCTACTCGTTTCCCAGCAATTGAGCAATGATCGGTGATAAGCTTTATAAGCGCCCTTACATATACAAGAACGGCATATCTCAGTCGTAGACATGTACACTTCGTGTCTCCACTCATACTGTTCGAAACTCTCATCAGATACCTTAGAAGTCAGCTGTTTATTTTGTTCGGCGTGAAATGATTTAGTAGGAATTCCCTCGTAGAACAATAATTTTATTGTATTCAACTTTAGTCGACGTTCCAAAAACTCAAGATAATTCTCAAATATAGTGATCTCAAATCAAATCCGCTCTCTGCGACTGAGTGCACAGTTCAGATAAACGACGTATAAGTTGCGTTTTTCATCATGTCCAAGTCCGATTGTATCATAGAATCGTACCAAATTAATATAACTGTAGAAAATAATAAAAATCTGTGTCAATTACAAGATGATTCTCAAAATACCACCGAATAACTAATAAGTTGAAAGGTATTCGTATATACAAGACAGTTGTATGATTTCGTCCGAGAGCTAGAATTCATTAGAACACAATATAAATAGTAGATATCTGTTTTTATGATTCTCTTGACTACAGTTCACCTTCATTTGAACATTTTATTTTATCACACTGAGACTTCCCTTTTAGATCATTATTGTTTTATCAATTTTTATGATGAACATTCAAGCCCACAGCAATAACATTATCCTTAATTGCCTTAAAATAACGTTTTATACCTTTATATAATTTGCGAAACTTTTATTATTATTAATATTATTGTAACTACAGCCATATGCAAAAAGTATATAATTGTGACTTTAGAGCTTGGAAAATTAACTCGCCTAAAAGAGAACGCCTCGCTGTTAGGAACCAATAAACTGTTTACAGTACCTATCACACAATGAGAAAGTGATTCAAAACCAGTGCAGGACGTCGAACAAAAGCATACTTACAGAGATAATCCATGTTCCTAGCTCATGAGCATATAGTTGTAGACAATCGAAAAACAGAATTCGTACTAGATACATACACAAACAAGTAAATAACCTACAAGTTCTTATTTGTATAACTACTTCTGTAACTAAGCTGTCTACTGAAAGGGTTTAACTAAAATCAACCAAGTGTATTATCTTATGATGAAGCATTTTGGTTTATGAATTTTATGCTTGTTTATACATCGTTCGAAATTATTTCAAGTTGGACTTAGTCTCTGTTAGGATATTCATCTAATATCCTAAGAGAATTATTGGTCAATTTCATGGTCGTCCTAGATATCAACGTCACGTGCTCCAATGTTGTTTCTTATTGGTCGTCCTGACTATCAATGTCAGTTCAAATGATGCTTCCTATTGGCCGTCTTAACTGTCAACGTCACAGACTTCGATGCTGTTTCCTATTCGACCAAAATGTATAAATACGCATTACCTGTAACGTTATATGACCAGGAGTCGGTTTCTAGTCCGGGATCATGAATTTCTTCTGGACTCGGACCTCGTACTTTCTGAATGCTTGTAGAATACAGGTAATACTTAATATCAAGTCTTCTTACTTCTACTCAATATGGGGATTTGGATAATCAGATTTGAGTAGCATGTCGTGTCGCCGGATCCTCGCTCTCGTTTTCCGACTAGGTAAACTCGTAATAGTTCAAGTATATCAAGTTGACGTGTGTACGTGCAGGTGTAACAGTCCCATACAGTAACTTAAATATTATAGTTCAAATATTATGTGAGATCAGTGTATATTCCGTCCCATTCTACGTAAACAAAGATTTAATTTAGATGTAGAGTGGCGATCCGAAAACAACTTGACATTTAAATTTGTTTGAGATAATTTGAAAGCTTCTTTACAAACTATCGATAACTTCAACAAATAACACCCTTCACTTCATTTAGTAAGCTCGTTTTATTTAATATCCCTTAACTAATTACACGCAAATTACGCCTGGACAATAATACACACATTAAGTGTTTCTTCGACAGAACAATTGTAACATAATTACATGGAAGCCAATTTCTACATCTCTCTGCCTTGTAAAAAAAGCAAGCTAAATTGTTTCAGAGTGATTTAGGATAAGAAGTAACGCTGACAGTCAGTTATAATTTCCAATAGAATAAATGACTTCTAGATTTTTAACTTCTTTTTATCTGTTAAATGAGTTATAATAATATGTATTCTTGTGTCCAACCAACTGTACTTCTTAGAAATAAAACAACTCTCCCGGGTAGTCATAGTGTCTTTGATCTCAAACCCTACAGAGGTTTATGACAATAATTTGAACCCAAAAACAGTTATCACTTGGTCACATCGTATCAATTTATATCATCTATCGACCAATATGCTTCTGCGCTATCTTATGAATTACAAATTTCGTCCCATTTATCAAATTCTCCTCTATAGCACAATATGACCACTTGGGGAAAAGCACTTCCTAGCCAGGTTCTATTCTGATGATCCCTGTCCATCTGTAGAGGATGAAGATGGATATTAGTTCTTGTTAACATCCACAAGAATGTGTACATGAACAGATTTTCCAAGTAGATGAATGGCTAAACGCTAGTGTAACATGAAACAATAAACATTGATTGGACAAAAAACGATATAAGTACATAAGTGTAGTCATGGTTCAGTACACTTCAAATATATCAGATAAACATATACTTTGTCATTGAGTTAACTATACACATTGAAGAACGGTTTCAAACAAACGAGAAATTCTAGTATTCGTTGGTTATCATTTGATCAACAAACTGCTATATTTATTCACATTTGTTCAATCCTTTTAACAAATCATTTGAATTGCCAATAATATTGGTATATATTTCGATCATGGTAGTGCGTGAATAAGGAAACTATTTAACAGGCACATGTGTGTCAATAACAGGACCAAAATACATGCACCACTGACGACCAAAAATGACAAATAAGTCTTACGAAAATGCAATATGGGGATAGTATTAGGACTAGATGAACACCTCCAAAGGTCCCCAATCCAAGAGCTAGAACCAGTAGTGTCCAAACTGTTAATTGAAATGATAAATCTGAATTGGGTTCGCCAAAGTGATCTATTTTAACGCTATTTATGGAGGAGATTATTTTTGTTTACTGTTCCTAGTAACAAATATTTCATGGGATGTCAACTAACGCATCAGTTAAACCCTGATCCCACCTAATTACCGAATAAAAGAAAGACAACTAGGGAATCTGCTAAATCTGTAAAAGCAATCTAATACGGACGTAAAAGGTATAATATCTAAACACAAATAGTATACATTATCTTCAAGAAGAAAATACAAAGCATTCGACCATTTTATTTTTATTTTTTAAAGTCGACTCCGTAAGCACTAAGTTATTCATACTGTACTACTAATATATGCATACATATTACCGGCTGATCGTTCATCTGTTGACTTCTATGTATGTAGATCAAACATCGATCATGATAACTGATGTTCAAAAGACACCTGTCAGCTTACTTACTTACTTACGCCTGTTACCCCCCGGGGAGCATAGGCCGCCCACCAATTTTCGCCAACCAACTCTGTCCTGGGCTTCCGTCTCTAGTTCTGTCCAATGTTTGTTCATTCCTATCATATCTTTCTCTATTTCTAGGCGTAATGTGTTCTTTGGCCTTCCTCTTTTCCTTTGACCTTGAGGGTTCCGTGTGAAGGCTTGTTTTGTGACGCAGTTAGGTGCTTTTCGTAGTGTGTGTCCTATCTACTTTCACCACTTCTTCCTGATTTCCTCCTCCACTCGAATCTGGTTTGTTCTCTCCCACAGTCCGTTGTTGCTGATGGTGTCTGGCCAACGAATCCGAAGTATTTTGCGAAGCCAAGTTTCCAATCCATACAGTAGAACTGTCTTGACATTTGTATTGAAAATCCTGATTTTGGTGTTGGTTGAAAGTTGATTGCAGTTCCAGATATTTTTCAACTGTAGAAATGCAGCCCTTGCTTTGCCAATCCGTGCCCACACATCTGCATCGGATTCACCTTGATTGTCGATGATGCTGCTTAGATATGTAAAGGTGTTAACGTCCTCCAAGGCATCTCCATCAAGAGTGATTTGGTTTGTGCATGCTGTGTTGCATCGGAGAATTCTGCTTTTTCCTTTATGTATGTTGAGACCTACTGCTGCAGAGGCTGCTGCTACTCTGGTCGTCTTCTGTCGCATTTGGTGTTGCGTGTGCGATAGAAGAGCCAGGTCATCTGCGAAGTCCAGATAGTCCAGCTGCGTCCTAACTGTCCAGTTGATACCGTGCTTCCATCCAGATGTCGATGTCTTAATAATCCAGTCGATGACCGCCAGTAGAACCTTCGGGGCTACTGTCGGTCCCAAGTCCGGGTAAAGGAGGAGGGTTGGGCATGGGGTTGGCGACCCCATTCCGTCAAAAACTAACTTGCCAAAAAAAACGCTAACCAGAAAAACTAAATCAAACGTGTCAGCACAATACTACAATAATTATTATTTTCCAAGATTGGCTTATCGGTTTTACGGTTGTCCGTTAAACCCTACAAACTCGAGTGGTTTAAAGCAATCACTGTGAACCCTGGAAAAGATGTATATTTGCCTGTTTTACATCATCGTCACTATAATAGGAACAAGTTAACAAAATGAATAGCAGATATTTCGAAATGATAGTAATAACAATGTTGGTAAATAAAATTAAACACTGAGAATAACAAGCGAATATAGGGAATAGAAGCATGGATTATTATTCGAAATCAGATTCTAGAAGGTAAACAAAGAATGTATCTGCACCACTTTAACCGGTTTCGATGTATCCGGCTATTGATTGCAATTACATAGTGGTTAGACAAGCAACTTTGTACTTACCAAAACGGGACAAAGTAATAAATGATGATCTAAGGAGCCGATCTCATGTCATGATTTACAACTGTTCTTATTCAAACCGGCGGTAGACATCGAGGTAGACGGCAGAAGCGTATACCTAACAGACATTCCACCTGGTACTCCGCATTTTATGTCAACATTATGAATTTGTTAGTTCGGCTATGTGACTAACATTTAAAGATATTTAAGTAAACACCAAGAAACTTGTTACTTTTAACATGAAACTGACGTGACAGAGATTTACCACTACTTAAAAAAACACAACTAACAAAAACATTAAGTGAATGAATGACAAACGAGAGCATATTCACAGAATCCACCAAATATAACAAGAATGATTATCATTTTTAAATTAAAAAATATGTTTTCACATTAACAACAACAACCACCAAAAACCATCCTCATAAATAAAAAAGTGACCAAACAAAAGAAAACACATCAAAACCAAAAGGTACAAAGCACTTTTTTTTATATTATTGGATTATGTATTTAGGCAGATTCATTTTGAACCATCATACTTAAACTAGATTGTACAGTACCAAGATGAGATTTCCATTGTATCAGTGTATCACGTAAATTAATCCATTGTGGTCGACCAAATGTACGTGGAAATGCGCCAGTGATGAGAATTTTCTTTTGAACTTGATCTAATTTACATGCGACAGCTCTTTGACGTACAGCTAAAATTAAACAGAAAGTGTTATTAACAAAAATTAGATCACTAGTATTGAGACGCGTTGCATAGAATTCGAATATGTAATGCAAAGCAATAGGCGAAAAGATTTCGGCATGCAATCGCACCTGAATTCATAAATATATATGCGGAAAACTATATTTAGGTTTTATAGACAGTACAGCCATCAACAAAGTCATCTTGATTGTTGTTAAATGTGTGAATAGTCGTTACTTCCCGGTTATCCACATAGTATGAGGTAAATGAAAATGAAATTGGATTAGTAGAGATCTTGATAATCTGAGTGTAATTCTAGACTTCAAAAGACGATTCCTTTAGTCTAGTAGCATAAAGGCTCTTTGTGAGTAACGATAAAACTGTCAGCTAAGTATTTTTAAAGTCTCACCGCCGGTACCACAGTACCTCTACCTGCTGTCGGAAGACAATATTAGCGGAAACGCTTGGAATCTGAAGTTACTATACTGATGTACAGTCGATAAAATGAATCAAATACCGGGAGACGATTTTACCATTTCAAGCTTTATTGCTTTTAAACCAACTTGACTATAGAAAAATTAGTGTTTCATTTAAAATAGATTAATTAGATAAGACCGACTGAAACTCCTATTAGTTCACATAAGAAAGAATATATGCGGTCATGAATAACATGTTATAAATATAGAACAAGTTTGCAAAACTATACCTTAGGAACTGAGGAGGGAGTAAGTTTAATAAAGTTTACCTAATGTGCAAAGCAGAAAATTTCATGTCAATTAAAATGACACCTATCAACAGTGTAACTACCTTAAGCTTGAAAAACCAGAAATCTAAATTATTTTGTAACCACGTCAAATTTCCTCCAAAACTTTATTCATCTTACTAACTGTAGTCGGTTGAAGAGGTGAGATCTTAATAGAAAACAAAAATGTCACTCGAATTTTGTTTATCTACACAACCGAAAAAGTTGACAAAACATTTATTTAAATTACAAAAAATGAAGAGCAAGTGGCACAGCGTATCACTCTCTATTGCTTAAATTACTTGAAAGATCGTTATTTAACACTGCAGACAAGTATAACTTGAAAGTATTTAAATACATGCATGCTCGAAACAACCCTGACATTGGACATAAATGACTACGTACAAACAGTATATACGTTTGGATGACAATAAGACTTTGTCAATTTGAGTAACCTAGATACCTTACACCTAAGTAGCACTTATCTTATTCCATTAAACTAAACCGTGCTGAATATAGTTTAGTTAATAGTCACAAGTGGACATATCAAAACTTGGAAACGTTTTATGAAACTCGCTGTTTTTTGGCTGTGTTTTGGTAAGGTTCACAAAATAGACTAAATTAAGTATTAGAGATTAGATTAAAAGAAATTTGCGGAGGCGAATTCATGTCCAACATTTATTCAAGTTCACAACATTACGCTAAATGATACATTACATTGTTCAGTCATTTTATTAAATCTAATTTTTTGAATAATTTGGCTAATCTTTTAACTACAGAGATCAGTACTGTCAACGATTCTCTATTTCTTAAAATGATTTTGTTCGTTGTACTGACCTAAATTTAGTCAGTCATAATCAACTTAGAAACTGGAACAAACGTAGGTTAACTCAAATTGCCATAGCGAAAATGCAAGAAAAGATAGAGGAAAACACCAAGCATTCATAGTAGGGTCAAAAATTGGAGTGAGAAAATGACTGATTCTAAGCCGCGTCAACTACTCATTTGAAATATGACATGCACGTATTTGTTTATTCGACTGTTAGCGTCATACAATAATAATACGGTTAGAATATAGGATATAAAGGATGGTGCAAAGTTGTTCGAATGAGAGATGTAATGTATTAATTAACTAGACATCATGAATAGACAGATACACAGAGAGATACAACGCAGAACTTCGTACGTAAGTACATCAATTCAGGTTGCCATGCCCCATCAGCACAGACGCAAATGTCAGTTCAAATCCAACAGTGATAGCAATAATAGAAGTATTAGCAGTAATGGAGAAGAGTAGGGAGCGAAGATATGATTCAAGATGTATAATTCAGTGAGATAAATTTAGAAGGAGAAAGGTAGAGATTATGAGGAATGCAGAAGATTAGAATTTCATAGAACATAAAGAGTGGATGCACCTGCGTCATTGCAAACGATTCTGAGCCGTGTCGTTTAAGGTCTCTAACCTTCGGTGACAATCGTCTCGCGGACCCCAACCAGGTGGCCTACATCTACCAACATGACTCAGTCCACTTGTCAGTGACTTCATGGATTTCTGCTACGTTTTGGTCTGGCCGCCCCTAGCATTATTTCAACCTACTCCTACACTACAACAAAGCTCGTCGAGGCAGTCGGTGGTTAGGCATACGTAACACATGTCCCAACCACCTCAACTGATGAAGTTTCACTACTTCATCTATTGATTTGCCATCCCTACCTAGTACTCGTTTCCTAACGACAGCATTGTTTACTCGGTTGTCCCACGATACACGAGCAATGCTTCGAAGACATCTGTGATCGAAGACTAGTAACCTAGGAATATCTACTCTCACTGGCCATGTTTCACAGCCATAAAATAAGACGAAGCGAACCACTGCACAGTACACTCATCCCTTAGTCAGCAAACGGATATACATTTGGATTTAGGCGTATACTTTGTTAACATACAAACACTGGTGCTGAGTGGAACCCAATTATTTGTGTGTGGCCTGGGGCACTGTCCGGAAGCCTAAACCCGAAGCAGGTGATTTTCTTAGGAGGCTATACCCTGAGACCCAAGATTTTAGTCCACGAAGCAGCGGAGCACCGTAAAGCGATGCAGTCCCATGGTGGGTGGTGACCAACAATATGTTCATGCGCTGTCAGTTCC